ATGCATGTATAGACGCATGAACGGACGCAGGGGCGGATGCATGGATGAACGCAGGGACGGATGCACGAACAGACGCACGCACGGATGCACGGATGGGCGAATAGACGGTCACACAGACGGACGCATGGACGGACGGAAGCAAGAACAAATGGACGGACGAATGCTTCACCCCATTCTCCATCATTCACTCCGAAGATATGCTGCCATTTTTTTCTGGGAGGCGTTGGCTCCACCGTAGCAAAAAGCGGGCTAGGAGTGAAGAGCAATCGCATGTGTAGCGTTTCTATCTTCGAAATCCCCCCTGTTTCACTGCGTCCGTGTCACTCGATTACTTCGAACAATCTTTTCGCAGCTAAGCTGGCGTGGGGAACCACACATATTGCCATAAACGTACCGTGTGGCACTTTCTTTACACCAGCGCTACCGCTGTTACCTCTAAATTTGTGCATATCGCACAGAGTTTGCACAATAAGACCAGCGATAAGCAGTGCCTCTCCTTCGACAATACATTGCTGTGTTTAGCGTTTAGTGATACCAGAGGCCCCGAACGCCGCCTGATTCTCGAGACGCGCACGCTGTCGTGTAGCCTCCATCAACTCTCAACCCACCATACTGAAACGCTCTTCACGCCACTGAAAGGTGCTGGAAAGTGCGAATTGTTACGATCATGCTGCGATTCGTCACTGTAGAGGCTGTAGGTTGTACCGGGAGCCCGACTACCTCGAGTATGCTGCCAAACACATCGGCAGACGCTGAGTGCGTCAGCCGCGGGCACTCTGTGCGTCACTGAGAGACGCTGGATGCGTCTAACCACGTACCTGCGCCCTCCTCCTCGAGCGTTTCGGAGCCTATGAAAGGCCGGCACATGAAGCATCGAGTGCCGCCATGGTGGTCTAATGGATAAGGTACTCGGCTGCCGATTCGCAGGTCGCGGGATCGAATTCCGGTGGCGGTGGCTGCATTTTCGATGCAGGCGGAAATGTTGTAGGCCCGTGTGCTCAGATTTGGGTGCATGTAAAAGAGGCCCAGGTGGTCGAAATTCCCGCAGTCTTCCACTACGGCGCCTCTCATAATCATAAGGTGGTTTTGGTACGTTATACCCTACATATCAGTCAGTCAACTTCTACCGTCAGAGTGCTTCCTCGTCCCGGGTTTGTACCTACGTTGTGAATGCACTGTTTCGTTGCCTTCTGGCTTCCTTTTGCCTTGCCACTGCCTAAATGCTCCCTGCCCGGTGTTGACCTTAGCGACACGCTAGAAGCCAAAGGGCCTCTCGTTACAACTGGTGGCAGTGGTGGGATTGCATTGGTCCTTGCAACTTGAGCCAGCTGAAGCATGGACAGCACAATAGAAGCCGCTACTGCAGCTACATGAGTGTATCAGTTTTCCCATTTAGGATTTGCCAGTCTTTAAAGAGAAGTTTGTACTTTGAAGCTGCCAGGTACTTTCGGTCAATATTCAGCCCCTTTGCATAATCGCACTTTGTGATATTGAGAGTTAATAGATAGAAAGTTTGAGATCTGAACTTGTAGTCATGGGTCTCAATTCTCTATGCAAGCCTGATTGATATTACTAGTTGCGGAACTCAGAGTCGAGCTAGGGAACGCCATACAAAAGTTGAACATCATTCAGGCATTCTTGCCTCGGAAAGAGACGACAGCGGGCTTATTAAATCTCGTAAAATTGTTAAAGGGCACAAGTCAAACGAGGAAAACAGCCGGGCTGAAGCAAAACAGCATCAGGCATTCGAGAAAAAGAGGTGTTCTGATGAAATAGGAAGACTATGCTTCAGGTACAATTAAAGTGGTCTGAGCATCAGACAGTGCTGGCGAAGTCGGGTACAAAGCTGTAGACAACTCACGTCACATGCATCGTCGGAAAACATCTAATAGCTCACTAAAGTATGAAAAAAAGCGATCAGTTAAATAAATCCACATGTTATAGCGTCCCAAACCAGTCGAACAGCACTTTTAAAACACTTAGAAAAGACCCGGAACAGAGACGCTTTGAACTGCGTTCGCTGAAACGCGTCTGTGTACCGCTGCATGAGAACACTTTTACGCTCAGTGGAATATCTAGCCACACCTTGTGCGTGCTCCAACGCAGTAAAAAAAGAGTTTGACCCACATATCAGTCTTTGCGAGACGCATCGAAACGTAAGCGTCTGAATGGTGTCTTCCTGCGTGACATGTCTTCAAACACCTTGATTTGCGTTGAAATCGATTGGTGTACATACTATTTTGGAGGACGTGTCTTCTCGGGGCAGAGATGCCTTGTCAGCAGCATTATCTTTTGCTGTTTACTAATATAATAAGGCCACGCCAGTTTGGTCACACTCTTCAATCTCAACGGTGGATGTAGTACTCTGTTAAACACAATCTAACTTTCTGTTCAGATCATCCTACTTATACTCGTAATCATATACGTTCTTCCACACATGGCACGGCGTTCTGTTCACTTGCATGTGCGCTTGCACGTTTTTTTCCATCTTTCTCAAACAAATCATATCTGTTCCAACGTTAGAAGTCTGGCACTCTTGCTCAATGAGCGAGTCCTTCGGGAAAGTCTTGCTATCATCTCACGCGCGAACATTCATGCATGGTTCATTGGTCCTTAGTGCATTGGTTCAAGAACCTCTTTGTAGTGACGGAGAATGCTCATTCACGACCACCAAGTCTTGTTGAACATCACAACGTGCTTCGGCTTCCACAAGATGCAATCGAAGTGACAAAATCTTCTTTTCTAACGCCACCTTCTCGCGAGACATCTTGACCTGATGCCTTTGTACACGCAAATCACGCTCTGCCTGCTCGCATAGGGTCTTACCTTCGGTAGTCTGCTCCTCTTTGCCATGAGCTACCTCCTCTCTCATCCACTTACTCAGCTGGTCTACGGTTAAGCCTAGCTTACCAGCGATGTTACTCAGCTCACATAAATTCATCCTGCGGTCGTTATGTTCCACTTGAAAGAAGTGAAATCAGGCTCACCCAACGGTAGGCGCCATTGGATGATATTCTTCGAAATATTTGAATTGGACGGAACTCGTTGTGTCATTGACCACAACGCCCGTAAGAAAGACGGTGAGGCTGTTTCGTTTTTCGCCCACTTTAATGAAGCAACACATGAACGTACGACACACGACACGCACTAATGGCATCTTACAACCTACGTACAGCGCTCTGAGCAGTCAAAAAACAAGTCTAGTCTAACCATAAGCGAAAGCCTCACCGGTGAGCGCTTGTATATTGGGGTTTTGCAGACGTCTACTGCGAGCAGATACGTGCACGGGGAGGCCATCGTTAAAGGAATCCAGGGAAGAGCAGGGCGACGCTCAGCTGGAGGCACGACGGGACAGGCAGGTGCCGAAGAAAGAGCTGACTAAGTCAGGGAGTCTTCTCCTCAGACGAGCGGACCAGGGTACAGTGTACAGTGTACTAATCTACACTTCTAGTACACTCTAACCAGGGGCCACAGCCAAGCACACGGGCTAACGCCCAACAGTGCACTTCGTGACAGCGGTAGCTTCCCGCTGGCTCTGTGAAACATCGCAACTTGAGGTCAAGCGAAACAGGCCGCTCCTTCTTTTAGACTCTGCCAGGCACTCGGGGAAAACCATGACCATGACGCTGCCGAACAGCCCCCAGCCTGCTTGTCGCCGAACAAACCACCTTGCAAACTGCCGTGGCACTCATATCGTCGAGTCAGCCGCTTCTCGTTGGTACTTTCTTTGTTGTCGTATTTACAGGTCATTGGCCCCTGAAATCACTGTGGTAATGGCTGATTGGGCCACTTTGCTCTTCTGTTGTCCGTTTTCGTATTCATCTGGCTTTTTTTGCGCGTTTACAGCTCGTCTTCTTATTTTTAGTGCCCCGCACTTTTTCCGAGGCACATAATTAACGGACACCCTGCACACACCACACCCTTCACGTACATTCTCGGGTTTCGCAGCAGTAAACCTTCCAGTCGTCTTTTCTTGATTCACTGTACACTCACGGCAACTTGTTCAGTGCGGGCACTCTTACTAGAATTTAAGCAGTTCAAACGATCAGACAATGCAGGCCAGAGGTATACAATTGATGCCCTTAATATAAATAACATGGGGCACTGTACTACTAACTACCTTCTAAATTAGCCAAAAATATCGCTTCGTCCAAGAACCAAAAACTCCCTCATTGGTTGAACTTGTAACTACAAGAAAACAGGTACGCAAATGTCAGTTGATGTTATTCTGCGCAAAAATAGTATGTCGCAGTTCTAAGTTTTCTAAGTTTCTACCGCCCCAGCCCATGTACTAGGCAACATTGCATATGTTGTCAATCATTCATGTGAATGCACTATTAGTACGCGATTGACTGCTGAATCCCGTTACGTAACACTCACGAAAACGCCTCAAAGATCGCGCCACTTTGCATTTGGTCGCAAATTTACGCTTCTCTATACCACGCGTCGATAGCTGGAGAACGCCTGCTTCTTACTGCTGCCTCGTTACAGGTTGTCGAACTTTCCCTTCATAGCAAGAGTAACCAGTGATGATACGGCAGTGATTTATGTATCTTCATCACAAAGTTGCCTTGCTAAATATATGTAAATCAGATGAGATACTTAAAAATGAATTCAGAGAAGTGATAGAAGGTCCAATTTACGGTAAAATCTAAATGTTCTCTACAAACAAAAATACCGTTATGGCCAGCCTAGCTCAATGTCTTCAAGCATAATGAGAAATATAAAGCTCAATATTCAAAGCACGATTGATTGAGCCGAAGTTAACAATGGCAAAGACCTGTTCATTGTTCTCCAGGTAATTTCATATATATCTGTTCTTCATAGCTAAATGCACGAGATTATGTTGATAATATTTTGTCTTTAATTGCCTTTTGTGCGTAGGAGAGGGAAATCGTTCAACCATTGGGTGCTGTAAGCACGATTCGTACTTATCTGTTTCATTGCAACTTCTTATCTTGCTTTATTTCAGACTGTGATTGTGTTTTCAAGCTATCGTTCAAGTGGTGGCACAGAAATCCGGCACATTGCATCGAAACTTAAGCTAAGACCTCATTTTTCGGTCATTCACTATAGGTGCTCAAAGAGAGCGATGGCATGGCTCAGTTTTCCCCTGACTTGGATTGTCGTTGCTACTATAGCATGTACAACCATGTCAAAAGGTACGATTACTTTATTATGTGCATATTCTGTTTTCAATTTCTATTTGATTGGGTTACTAGTTTAATGTGTGAAATTCACACAATTCGACATCAAATCTATATGTCATGTTCAGTGATAAATTGTCTCCATGAGCATGAAAACCACTAGCCAAGGTTGAGTATTGTGCCATCTTAATAGGCTACAAAATCTCATTTTGTCCATGTTGTGTTATCAAAGTGTGAAGTTTAAAGCATTGTGCTTGAAACATGTTCTCTATTTCAAGCCAACGGCAAAAAATAGTGAATAAATTTTACAGGTAAACAGGGTGTGCTATTTGAGAGAGAATTTCTTGCACCAAAAATTTGTGATTTGCTGACGCCTCCGACTTTTCGCGAAATAATCATCAAGCGTTATACCGCACGGCGTTTTGGTGCGATCATCGAGTCTCATAGAAGGGCGCTGATCGACCCAGGACATGAACTACAAAGATATACGTGTACGCCGAGTATTTCAAAGAGGTGACTTCGCTTTTGCTAGGAAACAAGGCGCTCAGCAAAGTTCGGGCATTGACCCTGAATGCAAGAAACGAGAACTTTAGCGACGATACATGTCGGCTGGTAAAGTTCCGCGTTAAACACTAACGTTTCTTTCTCGCTTGGTGGAAAAATTTACGGGTTTACATTTCCTCTGCAACCATTCAGGCACCAATAAGGTCACGCTCGCCCAGTTTCTGATTATGCACGCGAGATGTCTCACGTTTGTGATTGCACCCATACGGAAAGCTGGTAGTTTCTGTCGCGTTGTTATGAGATACCACAAACTGTACTGAACGTGAAGGAGGTGATGGCAGTTGTGAAGTTCCAGCGATTGGCATCAGAATGCCCGTAACAGACGACCGACAGGCATGGAAGGTCTACAGTAGAGCGTAAGTAAACTCGTGTTGCATGCGCTGGCAGTTCTCGTTGGAGTTCACGCGTTCTCAGAAATTGATTATGGTGCACTATGTTCTGTGCAACTCCAGAGTTCATTCCTTCATCACTGGTGAACCGATCACTGAAAATTTTGTGTGGTTCGAGGCTGCTCTTGTTCACGCTAGTGTGTGCGCTGGAAACATGAATGCACGTATGCTGCGTGGTGAACTATTCTGTAAAGTTCTGGATCTGTTCAGGTAAAGAGAAACATTGGTTGCGCCCTTGCAAACAATAGAAGATACCTTGCCGTAACGCTATCCTTTCAGGGAGCCGAGGGAAGAAAGCTACGAAAAAAACTAGAACACACCTCGTTTTTTTCGCGTATTGAAAGGTTCTAGCACATATTCGCAGCGACGAAGTTTTATGTGAGTTGGTATAGTCCGTTCGCACGTGCACTTTTGATTGAGACCAAGTGAACATTTATCATCAATGATTACCTTGCCTTCACAGATTGCACAATAAAACATCTACGATTACTTCATTGCTATCAATACTCACTGTGCAACGGAAAGTCTGCCCAGAAAATAATGTGTGCAAAATGGTGTTGCCAACATGCAGAATATCTTACGAAATTTTACTTATTGCGTATCGTAAGCATGCTTCGATGCACGTAGTAAAGTAAAAAAAAATGTTCACTAAAAGCTACCACTGCGTTAAGGCGTCTTGAAATTAAGGCAATAACATAAAAATAAACCCCATAGGCATGAAGTCATAGGCATCGACAAAGAAATTTGCTCAGCAAAGTAGGCAAAATGAAAATGTAATCATGAATGTAGAAAAACACGCTGCATATACCTCTCATTCCTTGTTGTAAGCGGAACCCTCCTTGACCTGTAAAGCGCACTTCAACCCGATGAGGCCTACGCCATCTACGCTTAACAAAGATTACAGATTAATGATTTCTTTTTCAACAGGCTGGGTAATCACAATATGGCGTTTTCAAATACTGGTACATCCAGTGGTGTGGCGAGAGGCCATTGATACAAACGGACAATGTACCTGTCGTTATTTAAAGCACTTTCTACAGTACTGCCCCGCGCTGTTGTCTAGTGGCTAAGGTACTAGGCTGCTAACCCGCAAATTAAGGAATCGAATCATGGCTGCAGCGGCTGCATTTTCGATGAACGCGAAATTTCTATAGACCGGTGTGCTCTGATTCTGGTGCACGTTAAAGAATTCGAGGTGGTCTAAATTTATGAATTCCTCCACTACGACGTCTCTCATAACAATAAGGTGGTCTTGGCACGTGAAACCCGACATATCCATCGATCATTCTTACAGTACTTTTACTTACTCTGTTCACAACCATGCGCATGAAGAAAGAGGAATAATATGACTTGATATACATGTATGTGCACCATCTGTTTACACTACCGGGGATTGTCACGTCACCGAGAAAAGCTGATGCCTGTGCCCCCCCCCCCCCCCGTCAGGCCTGTGTGAACCCCCTTCACCGAGAAAAACTTATTTCTGGCTGCGCCCCTGGTGACACCTCTCAAACAAAATGCCTTAAATTGACTCCTTTCCCTACATGACTTTATGTAGTGTTTTTTTCCAAAGCAGCTGCAAGTAGCATCGCGGGTTTGTGGTAGGACACCTTTTTGCCGCGAGAACGGCCCCGGGTTTCATCCTCAATGTGATTGAAATTTTTATTCTTTATTTTATTTGTCTCTTTCTTGATGTTTCTGACACAACCAACGGTGCCGACACTGACGGGGGAATTTTCGCGACACGAGCTGTCTAACGCCATTGCGTTAAAATGAGGGCGATCCGCACAACCGCCAGCACTCCGCTAATGATGGCCAGCGAAGCATCCGTCAGAGCTGGCTTCCTCGCCCCTCTATATACGCCAGCGCCGCGACGTGGTGTGTGCGGGTGGAGTATGAAGCTCTTCCATTGAGTGACGTGGCTGTTTCGTGGCAAGAAAAAAGTATTAAAAGACAATGGTATTTTTGCGTCAGGTTCTGTTTTTGCGTCGGCAATGGTCTCACCTTCACAGGTTGCTGAGTCCAGATTTCCCCGAAGTGCGCCTCGGGAACTCCGCCTAGAAGTTGTTGGAGGATGGACGTGGGCTCGGTTTTTGATAAATTAGGGGCACATTCGACCGCGACTCGCGCTGTTGCTGGGAGTGATGAACTAGTCACGTTGACAGACACTCTTTCATTTCAAACGGGCGTTCTCCATTCTATGGCCATTGAGGGTTTACGCGAAACCCGTGAAGTACTGCTCGCCATTGTTGGTACATCCAGTAAAAATGGCCAGCTTCGCTGAAGTGATAATGAAGTGGGATTTGATCAGGAGTGTGCCGTATATACACTTTTCGAAATTTCACCTCAGGCAGGGGTGGTGTGAACTTAGTGGGTGGCTGCCGGAACGAAAGAAGGTGTGGAGGTTCCTCTCACTGCCTGAGCGTACGAGAGTTCTCTCTGCACAGGTAATGACACCTGATGATGTGATGGCGGCTACTGTTCATGAACTGTGTGCCTTAATTCCTTGCGAATCACCTCCTCCAACAACGCGACCGGTGCCGTGTTGCCGTTAAGCTATTGCCTCTGCAGCTCTTCTCAAACCGGATCAAATCTCGCAGCACGTCAATGCTATTTTTGAAGACCTCGGGAACTGCGTCTACAATTGCGTTGGTCACATCGCAGTTGTAGTATCTCGCCCACTGTTGAAGGGTCCTTTTCACTTCCATCGCCTTGGGGCGAAAATCCGCGATGGTTCCCTGAGAGCTTGGTACCAAACCAGCATAAATTTCCTGTTTCACGGCCCGTATCAGATGCCGAAGCTTCTTATCGTCGTTCATATTTGTCTTTCATATTATCATCGCTCATAAACAAGCTGGGCATGTCTCCGACATACGTCGCCGCGCTGTAGTTATTTTACTGATTCCTTGCTTGCAAAACAGATTGAGGTCTTTCTGTACGGTCCGCGTCCGGGTAAGTAACCAGCACCTCAAGTCGGAAATTATTCCAAGATGGAAGGGCACCTTGTTGGTTTTCTAACCACGTTCGTACGCTGTCTTGCATTACGATATAGATGAGGCGGAGCTTCCTGTCATCGTTCCAACACACTCAAAATCTTTCAGTCAGTCTTCGGCGACTTCGTAGGAGTCACCTTGAACACGCGTTCTGGCGTCCGCGCCTGATCAATGACAACGTTATGGCGATCTGGCACGTAATTTCAGTACTATTACTGGAGACAGCTGATGCTATGATTGGCTCTGGAAACAGACGATATTTGGGAAGCTCACCACGCAGACGACAGCTGGTGTGCTGGCGGACAGGAATGAACTTGTTGGGTTCGAGTCATTGGCGCTTCAGGCTGCTCTTTTTAACTTGAACTGGGCTTAGCATCATTACCGTGAACCTCAACAGTATTTGTCCCGCACAATTCAGACAGCCTCAGAATAACTGTTTAATACGAGGCAAACATGTGCCCGAAAATTAACAAAAGGGGCTTGCAGTGTTCCACGCAAGAGGCTAATAAAACAAAGAACAGCTTTTCCAGAGAGTCTCTGGTGGTTTGCATTGACTGTGCCATTGTAGACAGTCTTTCATGCGCTCTCACTTGTCTTGTCGGGCTGCCGAAAATTCTGGGGGTGACACTGGTTGTGTCGGAGTGGTTTTTGAAGGCATTGATTGCCCTGTGACATAACCCGGTGAGTGGTAGCAGATAAGACACGTGGCTGGCACAATTTACGTATCTTCAACCAAGCTCCCGTCTGGTTGCGTCATCAATGGCCACTACTTTGACATTGAACGCTCGTGGCACATATTCGAAGTCACCAATCTTATTCCTATATTCAGGCTCGATCCACGAGACATCGTTGAACGGGACGGGAACGTCACTGCCAACAAATTCTTGGGCCAGTTTGCGAGAGGGCGGTACCGTTGAATCTATAATCGTGGTTGTGGGGACTTGTTGCGGATTAAGTTGTCAGGTAGCAGAAAAATCAGCACGGGCGAACATCAGCAAGCTCCGCCAATGGCTGTGGTGATGGTCTGGCTGATTGAGAGGTGGCTCGTGCCACCACACCGTAGGCCGAT